AATGGTCACCACCATGAAAGCAACAAGGTGGTCACCACAATGAAAGCAACCAAGATGGTCACCACCATGAAAGCAACAAAGATGGTCACCACCATGAAAGCAACCAAGATGGTCACCACCATGAAAGCAACCAAGATGGTCACCACCATGAAAGCAACCAAGATGGTCACCACCATGAAAGCAACAAAGATGGTCACCACCATGAAAGCAACAAGGTGGTCACCACCATGAAAGCAACAAGGTGGTCACCACCATGAAAGCAACAAGGTGGTCGCCACCATGAAAGCAACCAAGATGGTCACCACCATAAAAGCAACAAGGTGGTCACCACCATGAAAGCAACCAAGATGGTCACCACCACGAAAGCAACCAAGATAGTCACCACCACGAAAGCAACAAGGTGGTCACCACCATGCTAGCAACCAAGATGGTCACCACCATGAAAGCAACCAAGATGGTCACCACCATGAAAGCAACAAGGTGGTCACCACCATGAAAGCAACAAGGTGCTCACCACTATGAAAGCAACCAAGACGTTCACCACCATGAAAGCAACAAGGTGGTCGCCACCATGAAAGCAACCAAGATGGTCACCACCATAAAAGCAACCAAGATGGTCACCACATGAAAGCAACCAAGATGGTCACCACCATGAAAGCAACAAGCTGGTCACCACCATGAAAGCAACCAAGATGGTCACCACCATGAAAGCAACAAAGATTGTCACCACGAGCAACCAAGATGGCCAACACCATGAAAGCAACCAAGATGGTCACAACCATGAAAGCAACAAAGATGGTCACCACGAGCAACCAAGATGGCCACGACCATAAAAGCAGCCAAGATAGTCACCACCATGAAAGCAACCAAGATGGCCGAAGTGGTAACCATTCTGCATGGCCCGACAATGAAATATACATGTATTATGCCAAAAAACATCAATACAAACTGAAAGAGTAGCTTTTATAAGAAAATAAATTAATTATTTTAGTAAATGCTTATCAATTTCATGGTCATCACTAAAGCCAGCTGAGTGCAGTATACAAATTATTACAAAAGCCTGATAAATGATTAAATATGTAAGTACCGTAAAATCTGTATTAGAAGCCGCATCCCTAATAGAAGTCGCACACATTCTTTTTGAATATTTGAAAACCAAAAATTCATCATTCCTCATATGTATAGATGCTCTAATAGAAGCCGCATCCCCTCTGTTGCATTGTACCATTTTAATAGAAGCCGCGGTTTCTAATACAGATTTTACATAGTTATTTAGTCACACAAATCTTTTATATTTACAATATTGGTCTTTTATTATGCAGTGCAGGTTTCAAAGTTGCATTCCCACTTTGCAAATCTATGAGGTACTGTTTCTGAACAATATATAAACACCGTAATATGTTCAGATTGTGAATAGGTAATGAAAAATTAACTGCAGAATGTGAATTTAACAATAGACACCGAGTTAGGGGGCTTTGTTTGGTCCTTGATGATTAGTTTATACCGATGCTGTTGGTATAAAAGAAAATAACCTCCAGTACTCTCAAAATAAAAAGATCGGAATAGGATAATCTACTATTAAATGTTTAATATTTTTGTTGTCAAATCACTGTTCACACTTTTTATTCTTAGCTTGTTCTGAGAGTGATGTTTCACATATTTATAAAGTTTGAATGCAACTCTAAGAAGAAAAGGGGCATAAACTCAAGTGAATAAAATTCATCACACATCATATGAGTAAGATATGGTCTACTATTATAAAATAAAATACACTTGAAGTTGTTGGTTGGTTATTAATAGTTAGCCATTATCATGATTTAATATTGAACCCATGGATTGTCAATTAGAAATAACACGACTAGGCAATAATCCTCACTTCAAGAAAACTTGTATAATGGAACTTCAGAAGATTTACCAGAAATAATAAACAACAGAAAATATGACTGCACCATTATATTAGATTTGTTCATTTCATGCTATGGGATGCAAAACGACCACTTTCTGGACTAAAATATACAAATATTCATAATAGCCATAGACATATAAAACATTTTACATTGACACAGAAATTGTGATGACAAGTGCTCTTTAAATTACCCATCAATATTTACAGAAGACAATATAAATTAATACTGGAGAGTACTCCGCCTCAGAATATGACATGTATAGACAACAACACGTACATACATGTACTATAGTAGTGAATGCGTTCATTTAAAATGAACCAGAATGGTGCATATAATTTAGTTCTTTAGTGATGGTTTCTGTTTTGGAGTCAATCAGGAGCAACTGGCAGAAATCCATTTTATAGCTACAACTCAGCCAATCAAAAAACACCTTACTAATCTTACAAGTGTTTAGTATTAATTGATGGATCAAAGTATAGCTAAGGGTGATGATACCCACCTTAAGCATACATAGAATATATGATTTACATGAAGAGAAACGATGATGTTGACATATGAACCCACATGAAATGTTCTGAGGAGTAAACTAAGGTTTGAAAGCAAACGCGTGCAGCACTCATTTAATAAGACACTAGCAGCTGAATTATAAATTGTAAATTGTTCAATAAGTTATCTATGGCAGTGAACAAAAACAATCAGCATTTGATGAAATTAGAGATACCTAGAAAAAGAAAGACTGTCACAAAACAAAGAAGGCTGACGAGCACCCATTTTTATCATCCATGTGAATATTAGTTACAGTCTGCTTTTTCAAGTTCAACAGAACACATGGCTGGCAGAAAATGCTGGGACTAGGATACTTAGTTTTATTCATATCCGCTGTGACTCCCATCAGCCTCCAAAAATTGTATGACAGTCTCACACATAGAAAGTATAGTAATCAATAAATGATTCAAGTCCCTATGACTACCACTTCTTAATACTAGCCAAGCCACTTGCCGTGATGGTACCATGAGCCTGGCTATAACTACCAAACACCGAACGACTTCCACCGCCAGCGACACTACCACCATGAGGACTATCATTAGATTTGCCATAGTACTGACGTTTGCCATAGCTACCAGATGATCGAACACGACCAGAATCTCCACGAGCTGATGGTGATCGCTGTCCAGGTACCTATAAAAAACAAGAAAAAAACAAATGTATTTACATTCAACAATTTCTAAGAGCAGTGAAACAAGTAATCATGTGTTTGTATTTTTTTTAATTGTTGTGCCAGGCAACAGTCTTCAATGTCACTATTATCTTTCCTGACTTGTGTACAAATTTCAAAGGTGATATATAGTGCATTCTGTCACAGAAATCATATGGACCCTGGTACTTTTGAGCACTTGTTCACACATGAAGATAAAATAATAGGATTCTTCACTGCTATTCATGTATGTATCCCTGTTAATAAAACAACTTGTGGATGTTTTCACAGCAGATTTCGATTTGGTTCTGATCAGTGTGTTATCAGACATTCGCATGCTGGTTGATAAAAATGTAAACATATGACGACACAGTGTGATGGCCTATTCTATGTTTTGAACTACATGACAGGGCTGTATGATCATCTTTCTATCATAATGACATTACTGCAAATGAACACCCTATCTGAATGTCAACCAGGCCCAGTTAAACACAATCACATGCAAATCATAACCAAGATACCAAGTGATTGTGTGTGTTTACATCAAGACTACACTGGCAAAATATGTGAACAAGGATACTAGTATACAAATTATGATATAAGTTGATTAAAACATTTGTCAGTAAATGCTGAAATGATTCATGAACCAACAAATGTTTTTCCAAGGAACAGTTTTATTAGAAAGAAGCATTCAATTTTCAATATAAGATAACATTTAGTCCAAGCTCAAAGACTTGTGTACAAGGCACATAGAAGTGTACTCACCAGTCTGGAGCTTGTCACATGGAGACCACTTGTTGGTGTGCTGTTATACTGATTCCGCATGTCACGTGTGCCACCAGAAAACGATCTTGTTCTCTGATGTGAGCCAGATCCAGATCCAGATCCGGATCCGGGTCTTGGTCTGGGATTTGATGAATAGTAATCCTGATTGTATCGCTGTAAAAGATCAAATTCTATGATTGGTGTCGGAAATATGAAAGGAGTTGATAAAATTGAGTGGATTACATAGATGCAGAGTAGTGAAGAAGGAATTGGGAAAATGTGCCTGCTTTAACAGTACAGAAAGCAACACTGCCAAACATGCAAGTCCACTTCAACTAAAACACACCAAAGATTAGATGTCAACACACACCCCTAACATCGAAATGGTTTGATCCAGTAAACAACTCACCTGTGCTGAAGACGAGTGAAGATTTTCATAACTTCTTTGCCGTTCAAAGTAATTACTTCTACCTTGTGAGGAATGAATATTTTCATAACTTCGTTGTCGCTCAAGCCGACCACTACCGCTATATGAATTATGCCTGTCTCCATAACCGCTTGCATTCACATTTTCTAGACTGCTAGCACGTTGCCTTGTGAGCGGTCTGGACGCTGCTGGGTGAACACTTCGGTGAGGGGGATGACTAGGTGCACTTGATGGCTTGGTGGGTTTACTGTAACTACTTGAGCCTGCTAAGAAAGATAGTTATTCATTAGAATTATGACTTTTAAAATCCCAAAAAGGTAACTATCGAGAGGAAACAAAAATTGATTCCTCATGATACTGAGAGATCAACCATCTCACACTCTCTGACATCATAATCCCAGTCTCTTGATTTTAATTTAATTTTAATTAATGAATTATCTTGGGTTTCTGTCATTTCTAAACTTGACCTAGTGGACAGTAAAATGATACATAGGTTGAAGCCAGATACCGTACACACAGAAAATGACATCTGGTCAAACCTTTGATCTGATGAACTTTTACATGTTTCAAAAGAAATCCCTTCACCGTGAACTAATAAACCAATTTCTATAAATCCATATATAAATATTTTATTAAAAGCAATTGATATGAACACCGAATACAATAATAATCACATTCAGCCACCACATTAGCTTTGCAAACAAACATCTATTCCACCATATAAACATGTAACAGATTCTGGCGCAAAAAAAAAAAAATATTCCGGAGGTTATTACTGGTATGGTCATATGAAAATGTGCGGGCAGATCAAAATATATTTCAAAATTTGTTCAAAAATAAATTCTACAAAATATCAATTGTACAAGACTGCACAAATACAGACTCTAGAGGGCAGACTCTACAGTATGTACCAGGTTGTAGCTTTGATTTGAAATTAATTGAATTATTCAAAAAGATTACGAGAAGCCAACTCAGACATTTAAGGATTGGTTGTAACTAAGGTCTCATCCTGACAAGATGCAACATTGCTACTAAGAAATATCACCAACACTCCATGTCAGGGGACCCCAGAGAAATTTTTACTGCTACCAATTTCACGGTACTCACTGATACGCGAAAATTAGTCTCTCGCGAAATTTGTGGTTTACATTATGCGCATTTTGATATGACTATACAGAACACATTTATAAGAATACTTGCTAGAAGACGATGGCGGTTTAGGTTTATTGACAGTATAGGACGGATATTTCTCATACACAAACACATTTGGTACTAGAAAAAGAAAAACAACAAATAATTAATAACAAGATGAATGTACATGCACAGTTTACGTAATAAACAAGACAACGTGCAATGATAGCAAACAAACATGCAACAAAATTTAATAAGAACCTATTCTATAGAATCAAGGATTTATGAGATAAGGGTATACAACTCGTGTAACACGAGATGGAGATCTCACATGCAGTCACATGAATTGTGAGATGATTATAAAATTACAAAACAAATCCACAATGCTAGAAATACTGTAATACATTTTAGCTAGCATATTATCTTAGCTAATTCAGCTAGTTTATATTAATATAACCATAATTTTGTTAATTCAAAATGTTATTTTAGAATAGATTGTGACGTATTAGCTAAATTAAGATTCAGGTAATTCATGCATTAAATCAAATTTGCATCGTCTCTGTAGCTCTTTAGCTAATACTGTGAAATACTTTATTTTAGCTGGAATTAATTTTGTATGGAATTAATTTTCACTGATTTTTGATGAGTTGAATGTAAAATATAGGAAAAATGGTATATTCGCTGGATTTTATTTTCACTGAATCATTCCTGCAGCGAAAATAGCGAAAATTAATTCCAAGCAAAAATAAAGTATTTCACAGTATGTTATTTCAGCTAATTTGTAATTTCACTAATTCAAGAAGTCTCAAAGTTATAATTGAAAGAATATATTCATAATGAGATATTATCAAATATATCTGGTTGTTTCCATACATGTAAATTTTAAACTAAACAGCCACAGGGAGTAAACATGATCGGCAAAACATTTGAATATCTCATAATATGATACAGTACATACAGTTACCCTACAATTTACATTTAATGCAATACATTTGTAAACAGAAAATGGAAGTAGGTAATCATAGTTCTTGGTAATTAACCTGACATTTCAGGTAAAGTTCGCTTTATCAATGCAAATCTGAATAGATTATCTTTTCAGATTTGATGTTCCATTAACCTATGAAAAAACCACCCATTACCTTTGTTCCAACAATCTGATATAGATCTACAACTGATAAAGCATATTTATCCCAAACTGTCAGGTTATACTGAATAATTATCAAGAACTACGATTACCAGATACTATTTTCTATATATAATATTTATCAGACCTAGTAGCTTTCTCATATTTTTTTTAACTTTATTATAAATAATACAGCTTTGAACTGGCTTGCTTGAACACAATATTTAATTTTAGTGCTGTTCAAACATTCAAGTGAGCTACACCAACAAGCCATGCATACTTATATTTGATTATATTAGATTAGATTAATTATTATGATAAATTATTTGACTGAAAATACTGATGAAACCAATCTGTTACAAAACCTAATATACCTGAGCTTGTTCTGTACATATTACCGGAAGACCCAGCACTGTGACTGCGATTTGGAGGTTTGTGTACTGATTGGCTGGAAGTATGCGCTATTGTACCATTGGGTAAGTAACCATGGTAACTTCCACTTTTGGATGGCGCTGTGTAACCAGGCGCAAAAAAAAAAAATAATAAACATAAAACAATGACAAAACAATACAGAAAATATTAGCATGCACATTTCCCTGGAAAAGTGTTTGATTGGATTCCATTCTATGCCTCAGATTTCAAGATAAAAAATCATGTAAAATATTTTTTGCAAATATGAATGGAATTTTGATAATGTTAGTTTAATATAGGGTGATCTGAATATAAAAAAAACTGTCAAATACTAGCGAAATCAGGAATATTGATTACAGATGGGAAATGGCAAGCTATTCAATTACATTAACACAAACATAGTCTCAGCAATAAATACACTTTGGTTTTAACAAGCATAAATAAAGAGGTAAAAGCACATCAAGCAGAACAAATATAACAAGTGTACCAGGTACCCCAGTAATCATTTAACAAGAAAGCCATCAACAATAGAATAACAAAGATAGTTAAGTGTTTTCTTCCATTAAAATAAAATGATTACTCACCTTGATAATACTGTGTTGCTGATTTAACCCGTGGTTTCTGATAATGATAAAGACCTGCATGCTGGTCATTCAGAATTGGCTCCGATGCTGATGATGTTGGGGGTGGTCTCGGAGGATGATAATGACGAGGTGATGCAGGGGGTCTTGCTGGGGAAGCTGGAGGTCGGGGAGGTGATGGGGGAGGACGATGTGGTTCTTTGTGATCTACACTGTCTCGTCTTTGCCTTCGCATCCTGGCTTTCTTTTCTTTGATCATCTGGAAAAGTCACACCACAGATGGGTTATGCCATGAGGTCGTTTCTCTCATTGATTTGAAAATTATGTTATTATCTATCAGATGGTACGCTCTTAGACGGATAAGTAGAAGCATTAATTTCTACTGGTATTTAATCTCACTATGTTAATAATTTAAGCATATTCATTAGATTCTTAAAAAACTTCTTTTAATTTTACATGTTCACAATTTATTCAGCAAATTAAAACTAAGCAAAAATTGAATGTGTTTACAGTAGTACATATTGATAATACCAGGGCATTCTGAGAATGTGATAAAAATTTGTATAATTGGAACTTTTCTCTAAAATGACGTTCCTCTTGTCTCAATAACTGTAAATAGCATTACAGACTACAGGAGTATATAAACTACTTTACATTAAAGACTTCAGGAGATAATACAGGATGGATATGTTGAAGCAATCATTCGTAGACGCATTATTAAATTTATGTGTCATTTATATAAATATAGTATAATGAGTTTGTTAAATAAATCAATTTTCAATGTGTTTACTCAAGTACTGTAACTCGCCCATTACAAGGGTCATATAGGGAGCGATCACTCATATGGTGTTCAAACGTGGGGGTTTCAGAGTGAATCTTGACCCCAAGTTCTGTGTTTAACCACAAGATGAGATATGAGTGACATGGAAATCTGGTTTAAACAATGCCAACTATAACATAGGTGAATAAATCATGAAAAAGTGTAAACACTGAGTTAAATGTAAACCACTTCCAACATGTGAACAGACCATAGGTTTAGCCCACTGATAAGGAATATTTACAAAACATTCTATCCCTCCTTATGTGAACAAGGTTTTAGATAGCATGCCAATATATCTTACCTCATAAAGTTTACTTCTATATTCCTGTACAGTAAGTTGAATATAGTCATCCAGTGGAGGCAATACATCATAGTCTAACGCTGGTTCATCAGCTGGGTTATGAAACCTACAAGTAAACATGCATAGGAATGTTATACTACCACTGACTTAACAGCGAGCACTCACATCATCAGCATCTATTCAATCTATTCAATATGTAGCCAATATAAAAGAAAACTAAATAACTGGCTTCAAATCTTATTACCAACCACCTTCCTGTCTGCATTTAAGATATGTCATTTATACCTGCAACTACAGAAAGCTACTTGACAACAGATTAGTTACATTTGACTCCGGACACTGGATAGAAAAATCTTACCTTGCCACATATGGATGTTCCAGTGCTTCTTCTGCTGTTAATCTTTTATCCGGATTAAAATAAAGTAACTTCCTAATTAAATCAACTGCATCTAAAGGAGCTTTATGTAAAATTTCTTCAAATTCTTTTCTATGTCTGTAATAGAAAAGTTAGTGTACCAAATTAGTGTATCATGTTAAAATAATCAAATCAGTATACAGTACCATGTGACAGTATTCAAATCAGTATACAGTACCATGTGACAGTATTCAAATCAGTATACAGTACCATGTGACAGTATTCAAATCAGTACACAGTACCATGTGACAGTATTCAAATCAGTATACAGTACCATGTGACAGTATTCAAATCAGTATACAGTACCATGTGACAGTATTCAAATCAGTATACAGTACCATGTGACAGTATTCAAATCAGCATATTATGTAATGACAGAATTTAAATATATAATTTAATCAAATACATGAATCAGAAGACATGTTAAAGATTTACATACTTGACAATACTTCTATCCAATAATGATGCCCCATATTCAGACTGGATAGATATAATATCATCTCTGGTTGGTAATTGTATTGTACTTAGTATTCTTTCTAATTGATTTAATGTAGATGAACCAGGAAATAAAGGTTTTCCTAACACCATTTCACCTAGTATGCATCCTATGCTCCACATATCAACACCTTTGGTATACCTGTAATCAAACAAGCTTAAATAATAATACATGTACTATTTTGCAAGTGACAAGGCTGTTGGCATAAATTCAGAACTAGGTATGTATAGTAAGCCTAAACTACTAAAAGTAGTTAATAAATTAATAAACGCTGCTCATACTGATAAATATGATATATAGAAGATAATATTTGGTGATCGTAGTCCTAAGTAACTATTAAAAATAGCTAAACGTTTCGAGCAATGGCTCTTTATCAATAGCATAGAAGAAAATGTTTCAACGTACAGGTAGAACATAGGAACGTAAGAACGCGCAAGAACTATAAAATAGAATCACTAAATGATTCCACAATAGAACATGTTATGTGCCTTAGGTAGTAAGCTCAAAAAATGAGTTAAACTTGTTGTTAATTCCTTAAGCCTAAACTACTGGTGACTACTTACAACAACATCATTTTATGGCTAAACATTGTATATTGATTTCATTGCCAACAACGAGGTAAGCAACCCAAGTCTCGGGGGTATTGAGACAAACAAACTTGCTCACTAATTCACTGATAATGGAAGGAAAGTTTTGTCTGCAGATGGTCTAGAATTTGAATATTACCCTTTTCTAAAAATCCAGTTTATGATTATAGAGACACATTGGTAACATTTTTACCAAACTGATGACTAATTTTATCAATGGTCTTCATACATATCAACAGTGATTTGCAAGCAGTAATTACAGTCCAATGATAGAATACCGTAAGTCGCGTGCATTGCCATGGTAAGATTTAGAGAATTAGAAATGCTGAAATCCTTCAACTGAGATTTTAAAATGAAAACACATAATGGTGAAAGCATGAAACTATCAGTATATATTCAGCTTCATAATATTTAAAAAAGTTTTTACAAAAATTTTACAGTATTGTTTGTAGGAAACCTGTTGTCAGCAAAACAGTTTAATTATTTGCTGCCCCAATATTTGGGAAACCACTGTTATTCCCATTTATTCACATATGCTATTTTTGTGATCACATACCTTTTTGATGCTAGTAATATTTCAGGTGCTCTATACCACCTTGTTGCCACATATTCAGTTAATGCTGGATTGGTAGATTCCTCCTCTTCTAACTGTGTTATCGACCTAGCTAGACCAAAGTCTGCTACTTTAACAAAACATTCACTGTCGAGTAAAATATTGGACGGCTGAAAAAAAAAGTCAGTGTTACAATGACCGTGACAATTCAGACAAGAAAAACAATGTGCTCAGCTTCATTAATGACTGAATGGCTGAAAAACACCAGGCCTTTTGAAACTTAATTGTCAAAAGTGGAAGGATTATATAACAAACTTAACTAATACTGTCAACACTACACTGTCAGTCTTATCACTCATTCAGTTTAATTTCCTTTCCAGAACACTCCTGTTTACAAATATAACAACTAATTTCCTTTCAGCTGAGAATTTTACCTAAAATGTCAAAGTGAACCAGCATTTTGTGTAAACATACTACAGACATTCTACCAACAATGTGTTGTCTGTAGCATGTACATGTATGTAGGTATTTAGTCATAGCTTGAAAACAAGGCAGTTAAAGAAAAACCGAACGGCGATCAAAGGCTACAAATGCACAGGTCGTTCACATACATGTAGCTTAAAGTTTTAAAAACAATAGTCGGAATAGCCCAAGAGACACAATAGCAAAATTGGCCATCAGGCAATCTCTTAGACAAACATTGGTATGGCATACATTCATCTACATGTATATGTAAGCTTTCAGAAGATGTATAGGTTGTAACATTTAGAGAACGTCTGAATAACAGATTAATTATTAACTTATTTTTTCCCTGTTGCTACCTTAATTTTGCTACCAGGTTCTCTAACCCACCACACATCGTTCTTACCTTTTGATCTCTGTGTATAACATTACCAGAATGCATATACTTGGTTGCTTTCAGTAACTGATACATAATATATCTTTTGTGTACATCTTTCAGTATATTGCCTTTCTTGATGACAGCATGAAGGTCTGTATCTAAGAAAGGTACATGAAAGAAAGTCATTCACAGTGATATGTATTTATGTGAGGCAGAGGGCTCACCTGTTCCTTTGAAACAATGTCCAAATTTATTATACATGTAGTTATAGTATACAATGGAAATTTGTACAACAATGTTGTTTCCTACAGCAAAATTGTTTTTCATGTCGTTGTACAGAAATAAAAGCATGTAAATTCTGTTACAGGGTTGAAATCTGTGGTAATTCAGATTTATCACATATTTAAATGTAGTATAATACAGTTTTTAACATTTGTGAACAATTTTTTGAAAAAGACAGAGCCTGACATGAAATTGTAGCTGCCAGAATTATTCAAAAACTTTGACTTTTGAGTTCAAAAATTTAAACTAAAAAGCTTTATTTTTTAGTATTTTCAGGTTTGACAACAGTTACCCAATGTGCCGAATGAGATTTAAATTTCTGAGACTTTTGAATTTTGCTGAGGTTTCCATATTTCAGCTGAATTAAAAAATAATTTGACATGAATGCATAACAGATGAAAAGAATTCAGAAAAATTTAATACTTTCATGGGGGAAATGACAGACATGGTCAGAAATTTCAAAATCAGGAGTGCATTTGTAATAAAAATACTGTCTATATTTTTACGTAATTATTATTATATATTATTATTATAATGAGTTGAAAATTAATTAAAACAGCCTATGAATCAATTCAAATATGACAAAGACACAATAAGTGCTTTCCCTGGAGAGTCTACATGAAATGATAACTGTCTACACTACTGATTTTGACTGATAAAATTCAATGAATAACTGTGTTTATTTTAGCATAGAAGCAGCATGCAAAATATTAATAACTGCAAATACCGGTACATATATTTTCACTTTTGGTTTAAGTATTTATTCTAACTATTTTGCAATAATAAAGTTGATACCATTTTAAATGTAAATTTTGAGAGAGAGTAAAAATAGAGCCCAAAATTTCTTGATATTTATAGTTACGAATAATGATAATTTTAACCATGTCTCAAATGACAACTAAGAAAACTGTAAAGTTACATTCATTCAAATATCTGTAAAAGATTTAACACAATTACATGCAATCCAAACTTCTATGATTTATATATGATTTTTATATGTTTCCATATAATTCAAGATGCAATTACTTTTTGATTAAACAATATTTTGGAGTTTATCAATTCAATGAATTACACTGTAATAGGTCTCATTATCATTACAGTTCACTGGAAATGCAACTTTATTCCAGCCCCGGAGACGGCATTATTTACAACACCAGTAAACTGCAATTTCAATGTTACCCCGGTAACTAAAATATAACTACATAAATGTCATTTCCAATAATATTCAGCAGATGTCTGAAATAACCAACATTTATTTGGTAAAAATAGTGGCTCGAAAGCTGCAATTAGTTTACATAAACATGTATGCTATTGTCTGTAGGGGTAGGTGTCCGATATAACAACTATAGTCAACAATAATTTATCATGAAATAAATTTATACATACCCATGAACTCAAATATCAAGTAAATATCTTTGTCATTATCAGCCTTTAGTACATTATGTAATTTCACTATATTTGGGTGATCACCAAATTCCTGTAAATAAACAACATATGGTAAACAAAAAAGTAATTATATATGTTCATGAAGGGGAATGTAAATATCCCTGGGATTGCACCTTGCTATGTAAAAGCACATACCGATATATGATTCTCACACATTTTTTAGTTTAGAGAATTACAGTAAGCTTAGGCAGAGGGTTCTTCGAACCCGCCAATTCACATAGTTCATACCCACCATAGACTCCGGTCAGTCAAAATGACTATTTTGAACTGTAGGCATTAATCAGCGATTCTGCCGGTGACGGAGAGATAGAATCTAGGTCAGGGGAAGCCCCATGACCCCAAGATTCTCTTTCCCTCACGTCACGAACGACATGACTGAGCCCATATGGCAGCGCCATAGACGGCTGTACAATCACTATGGTTCCTTTCTCTCCACATCAAGGACTTAGACCAACGCTACGGAAAGAGTGGGGTGGTTGGGGGGGACCCGGAGTCTATGGTTTGTATGAACTATGTGAATAGGCGGGTTCGGAGAACCCTCGGCCTAAATTCACTATGTTCAATTACCCACCATAGACTCCGGTCAGTCAAAATGACTATTTTGAACTGTAGGCAAAGTCAGACGCCGATAGGTGGTGGGTTTTCCGGAAGAGACGTGTTTGAATGCAGACATGCTTTGGTGTTTCTTCCTGCTTGCCCACTGAGGGGCCGCAGTGGAGACAGCTCGCTCCGACTGCGTCTGATCTACCCGGCCTGCCAGGGACGCAATTGCCCCGACAGTCCTTCAACCGAAGTCCTCAACTCGGAGACAAAGGGACCCGCAACGGGCTCCATAGGAGGAAAGCCTCCAGGGGCACAGCCTCACTGCACCGCCTGAAAAAAACAGACTGTGAGGATGCTCTCCGTTCAGTGGGGAAAGACCGAGAAAAAGTACCTCCACCATCGGGCCTCCTACTCGACGTCCTGGTACACGAAGCACCGGTAGCCGAGCGTGAGGACTTTCCACTCATGCCAAACACGCACTCACTTTAACCGATTTGTTTACTGGACGCGCGACCTTGCTGTGAAGAAACGAGCGACGCGGTCAGTCTCAGCGATTTTGATTGCTCTGAAAGAAAAATCTCAGGCCTCCACGGCAAAAACCCCGCACGCAGCTACGACAAAAGTATTTCTTTTATATAACTGCACAGTCAACTCGAAACACGAGGAGTCCCAAAAAAAACAGCAGCGAGCCCTGGTGCTGTCATTACATCTATTCATTTCTAAATACCTAGATCAAGCATACAATGAAGACGACATGCATAAGGGAAGTGAAATACAGTAGGAAAGGAGACGTAACAAACCAAACAAGTGATTAAGCTACGTGGCCCAGGTTTTATTTTTTTGTTGTGAAAAATACTACACAACAAAGGGGAAAACGACACAAGGGTAAAAATGACAAGGAAAACTTATCCTACCAGCTACAATGTCGAATGCAACAACCCAAGCTAGAAACCCGGACAGGAAAAAAAGCAGGCGATCCAGGCAGAGCTTGCTAGACTTGATCTCCATTCGATGCGGAGAAGAAGCAGAGTGATTGTAAAGCAGTCTATGGCGCACCATATGAGCTCGCTCACGTGGTTTGTGACGTAAGGGAAAGAGAATCTTGGGGTCATGGGGCTTCCCCTGACCTAGATTCTCTCTCTACATCACCGACAGAATCGCTGATTAATGCCCACAGTTCAAAATAGTCATTTTGACTGACCGGAGTCTATGGTGGGTAATTGAACGTAGTGAATTGCTTTAATTTCGCGAGAGATACATTTTTGAAATATTTTTTTGAAAACTTTTCTTGCGCCCCAATGACACAGTGTCAGTGACTCTCCGCACATTTTTTTTGTTCGCAAATGTCATCACAAACAATTATTAGCACTGGTAGCATAGTGGTTGTCGCATCAGACTCATGATCGGTAGACCCAAGTTCAAATCCAACCTGAACATCAAAGGGTCGACCCCTACCCTGGGTGAGTGTGCCACAGACTCAATGGGAAGGCCAATTCCACTGGCCGAGATTCATTCACTTACGAATGCGACTTTGGGGGAACCTTGGTTAAGGTCCGCAGGTGCTTGTGGTTCGACCGAGCCTGGTTGACGCCAGGATAGTGCATTAAAATTGCCATTTGATAGGGAGATGGCCACACAGCCCTGTCATGTAGTCCCAGACAGGAAATGACTTCTGTGGCAAAATGCACTGTGTCAGCACTAGCACTTGCAATTTGCACTTAAAAAAAATAGTCAGGAGTGACAACAGTGACATTCAATGTTCGGAACTGTCGCCTGGCACAAAAACATTTATTAAAAAAAAAAAAATTATTAGCAGCAAAAATTGAGTGGTTTATAGAAATATATGCCCTGGATTCAAGTGATCAATTAGAATTCCAGTATTGACATTTCCACTACAGTACTATGTACATCAATCAATGTGTCCAAACTTGTTGTGTGTTTAATGCAACAGCTTTTCTATTCACACAAAGTAGCTGTATGACTTTTATGACCTTTTCTCAAGTAAGGTACATTTAATGTACAAAATGTGAATACAAAATAACTTTTTTCAATGTGTGTTATTGGTTTGTATATTTTTTTTATAATAAGATTGGCTATTGTAAAAACAGGTTTGGTCGTGAGTGCCTTGCTGCAAAAATATGGTACAGCCTCTATAGGAAAGCAGATAGTTTCAATAAAAGATTTACAAAACTCCCAACTCAAAAATCCAACAGATTTGCATATAAAAAAAAACTAATTTATGGCAAAGGCATAGCTCATTAACAAAATTCGCTGGTATATTCTGTTAACATGGACATTAGAGATCAGAGCATGGAAGCAATAAAAAATAATGACCACATGACATAGCAGAGATTCTAGACGAGAGGAGGTGACCGGAATGAACACCTAACAGTAACACACTTCAACCATTGACCACAGAATCTTTTCAAATGTCTATTAAAATTACAACAAGTCATTGTCAATGACACGTCCCCGTTCCGTTCATATTTGAGTGACATATACCTTCAAAGCAGATCATGACCGAAATGCACCTGCATATGTACAACACATTGTGCTAAATCTGAACAAAATCCATCCATGCATGACTGAGATCCGGTTCTGGAATTGTGAAAATACGTGATTTTGATGCATTTTCGGCATTAAAATGGCCATCATTCCGCTATTGTTAAGCAGATCATGAAACAAATGCACATACATATTTGTGACATGATGTACCATGTGTGTGTGAAGTTTGAACTTGATCAATCCAGACATGTCTTGGATACGGATCCAGAACTGAATTCTTTAACAAAATGGCCGCCAGTCGGCCATTTCGAACTTGATCCGGAAAAAAAAAAGACGTGCATCAAGGTCCTATTATGTTTAATGTATGTACCAAATTTGAACAAAA